CCGGACACCTCCGGAGCTCAGAGCTCCTGGGAGTTGAACAAATGCTGAGTCCACTATTCCCAGGAGAGTTAAGGGGGCTCAGTCACCAGAACCGTCATTGAACCAAGGTAAAAAAAAACACACTGAACCCCCCAAAAGTATGAGCCTAAAAGGGCCAAAGAGCAAGGCCCTGGAGGCAGTGTCACCAGTGTAAGTGAGAGGGTCGAGGCATGACTCCCGCCCGCCCCCGGAGGCTTACCAACGTGTTTACAGGTTCCACGATGCCCGAGCCACTGATCTTCCAGGGGTGGTGAGTCAGACATGAGGTATGGCAGCGTGAGGAGTCAAAGGACAGGCCAAGCAGCACAGCCGGCCCTGGGAGGGCTGGCTTTACGGGACCTTCCCCCACAAACACTCATCTCCTGCGCCTTCCAGATCTGTAAACCATCCTTTACTAATGCAAGCCACTGTGTCCCTTGGCAAGAAACTGTTCTTTAGTCATTTCAAACTTTGCAAGCTACTTATGCAGCCTTCCCAGGAGACACTGAGGCATCCTCATTTGAAAACTTTTGCTTCTTTTTTGTGTTTGTGTTTATTCATTCTGTGGATTCAGAGTATTCATCCAGTGAGCAGGGAATAGCATCTGATCATATTTTCCACCCAAAGACTAACCTGTTATCAATGTCTAATAAGTAAGAAAAATAAAAATGCCCTATGTGTCCCATTTGTTTTCCACACCAGGACTTCATCTTCTACAGGGTGCGTGTGATGGATTAAAACTGTAGCAGGCTTCTCTGGCCTCATATATGAAGCCTCAGCCTGTTGAGGAGGACACTCAGCTATTTGGCAGGAATCCACTTGTTTTGTTTCTGTCTCCTACTTCAGAGGACTAACACTAATTTTGTGGCAAAAATCCTAGCAAAAGCTGTTCTTTTCCCCAAACTATGCCCTGACACCACCAACTGTCAGAAATGCTCAGTTATAATTTATGCTCCCAGACGTTTCAGAACCTCCCAAGAGCCAGATCCCCGCTTCCTCACCCATGCTTTGGCGTGTCTCTCCGCAGCGCACACCGCCCAGCCACGGGGCAGGCCTCACAGTTCTCCCTGGAGGACCATGACTGCTCATTTACCACCCCTAAACTTAACCCACCCCTGAGACCTAGTAAACCCCAGTATTCCCCCAACAAGCCTTTCTTATTCTCTTTTAACTCTAATTTCTACACATTTCATTAGTACACATTCACTCTCAGGACACAGTGGTTCTATTCATGGTGGAGAGCTGCTCCACATACGTAACCCATCCCAGTTGCTTCCTCCCTCCATTCCCCCTCCCTCTTACTCCCTTTTGCAAAAAGTCAAAATCCCTGATTTCTAATATCCGTATTTTGTTTTCCTTTTTATCTTATTTATTTATACATGGAGTTCCTCATATATAAGAGAAACCATTTAATATTTAGGTTTGAGTGTCTAATTTATTTCACTTAACAGTATAGTCTCAAGGTGTATCCATTTCCCTATAAATGCCTCAACTGTATCCTTCACTAGGGCAGAGTAGGACTCAATTCTGTATAAGTACCATATTGTCTTAATTCATTATCTGTTGATAAACATATACACTGCTTCTGAGATTTCACTATTGTGAGATGTGCTGCTATAAACATGGGTACACATGCATGACTGCAGTGTGACATCTTTACTCTTTCAGGAAGACACGTGGAAGGGGAAGAGTTGGATCAAATGGATTGTCTGCATTTAGGCTGAAGGAATTTCCATACCAGTTTCCATAGTTGTTGTAGTAGTTTCTAATCCCACCAACAGTATAGAAGGCTTCCTTTATTCCCAGCAGCCTTGCCAGCATTTGTTACTTTTCGATTTATTGATGACATCCATTCTTTTTGGAAAAAGATGGAGTATTGGCGTTGTTTTAGTTTGCATTTCTCTACCAAGCCTTTCTCGATCATAACACCCCTGTCCCTACTTAATAAGAGTTATTTTAACCATCCTTTCTGAAATAAGATAGAATGTCAGTGTTGCTTTAGTTCACATTTCCCTAAAAAGCCTTGCTTGATCCTAAAGTCCTCTCCCTATTAAGAGGAACCACTTAGTGTCATTATGATGACTCACTCTCTGGAATGTGGAGCATAGCAAGAACTACAAAGCTAACAGCACAATGTGGCCTATATCGGGAAGCCAAAGGGACGAAAGAGCTTTGGTTTGTATCAGACTAGAGCAGCAGCTGTAAAAGCAGGCAGTGCAACTCCTCAGATCGCCTCACACAGGCATTAGTGCCACGTCTGCGACAGCTTCCGTGACATTGATGAGTTTCTTGCCTGCAGAGACCATTTCTGATATGAGCTCAGAATCCTCTACAACCACTAATACCAATATTGCTGGACATACAGGAAACACAGTGAATTCTCACTGGTTTGCTCCACAGGGAAGCCGAGATTATTATCAGGTTGAACTCAAGAGTGAAATCACACTGAAACAACAGATTAGTAATAGAGCATTGACAGTGAGCCTGGCAGCACGCTCAATGAACTGTGCCAGATTTCAGCATCATACAGAGACCTGCCCGACATGTACTTTCAGCAGGGAGGACGCATGTGGAGGGAAGGGGCAGATGGACAGAATCAGAATCAGACTTCCGATGGTCTCAAAGAAGAAATGGAACTACAGAAGTGTCCCTTCCAAAGCTGGCACACAAGACAGGCAAGAGGAAAGAGAGGGTCTCATCAGGTCTGCTCTGTGTGCGCACTGTCTGCGGTTTTACAGAAAGAGCACAGGGGCATTGTCCTTCAGAAAGAAATGCCATCGCTGCGGTAGGCAGGGAAGGAAGCACCACTCTGAGTCCCCTCCCTGTTTACCAGGAATCCTTACTGTTGACAGACGACCGCAGCACTGCTCGTTACAGCTGTGAGGGCACTGCTTTACCTACCCTGTTCCATCTGTGCTACGTCACCAACACTAACTGACAGCCTGTGAATGACTAGATTATGCCACAGCGAAGGCACCACATGTCAACAGGAAAAGTGGAAGTCAAACGACCAAGTTCTCAATTGAACCTCTTTAAATTTTTTATTATTATTGTCACTGTTGCAATATTTCTTTTCTAGTTCAGGAAGCAATGAAGTACTAGATAATGTCACCAGCACCTTTTTATAATACAACCCACCCTTGCATAAATGCTAATTAAACACCCATAATATGTAGACATTATTCCAGAAATTATGGAGGATAAATGAATATAACTCTGCTCCTGCCCTTAAGAACATGGAAAGATAATGTAAAATAAACAAACAAAAAAAAAAAAAAAACCTAGTAAAGAACTAATGGAGGTGAACTGGGGAATAGCTCAGGGGTGTAGTGTCTGCATGGTAAGTGTGAGGTCCTGACTTTGACACCAGGTACTGGAAAAAATAACTAATTGGGAGCCACATAATTTCTGAGCAGGGGTCGCTTCTTCCAACATTCGTCTGGGGATTTAATATTAATAAACTACATGATTTTTAAAACAGTATCTTTTAGAGAATTTCTCATTTACTTTCTTCAACACGTGTTTACTTCTTGACAAAAGAGTACGCATTGTGCCTTCCGATCTGTGAGCTCGGTATCTGTGGGTCCAACTCACCAAAGAACAGAAGCATTAGAAAAAAAATTCAGAAATTTTCAAAAACCAAAACTTGAGTTTGCCACAAATCAGTGTTATCCTGAATCCATGCGAAGCTGTGTGCAGCACCGTGCCGGGTACTGTGAGTGATCTAGAGATAGTCTAAAGTACACACAAAGCTGTGCAGGGTCTACACTAATACTCTGCCATTTATACTGGGGATTAAATTTCTGTCTTTTTAAGAAGGTTTTAGGTCTCGGAACCAATCCCCTATGGATACTCAAGGATGAGTACATTAATTTTTTGACAGATGCTTATTTTAAAAATACTCTCTGAAGAACAAGTTTTATTTTCTTTTATCACAACCTTGCTGCAAAAGAATTAGTAAGGCTAATAATACGGTTTTGCATGTTTGGAAGACATTGCAGCTTCCAAAACATTTCCACAAATACTAGCAAAATAACGGATCTCACTTGGTTGCTGCAAAACCCTGAGGAGCAGGCAGGGGCAGTTTATTGTTGCTGTGGCTGTGTGTGTTGCTGTTATTACCGTTTTCATGATGCACAAGGAAATTTGAGGCCGAGGACAGTCTTGTGACTGACAGTGACAACTGGCATTTGTCAGACTCATCAGGTAAAAAAGAAAATTGCTGGCTAAGCCCTGTAATCTAAAATTTCCTACAAGTTATTACCCTTGAAAATGCGTGTTCCCCCAGTACACGGTCCCTGGAAAATAGAATCCCCCCTCTCCCAGCCCTGCCAAAGCCTCAGCTCCCCTCCTCCACCTCCTGGGCTGTGGCAGGGTCTCCGCGCTCACCTCTACCCCACAACTAAGGACCACAACTAAGCCGCCAGCTCTTCCACTCGGATGGCAGCCCCTGAACTATGTCCTTCAGGAGTATCTGGGCAATGACACTGTCACAGTCCTGCAGGGGATACTGCCATTCCAGGGAACACCGAATTGGGGCATCAAGCATCAGAGAGGGTGTCTTGAGGAGACATGGGCTCCACGACGACTGAGACCCTCAGCTGGCCTGTCCCCTCCCTCTGGGTAGGACTTACAAGCTCATCCTCAGGGATGAGGGGCAGGGGGAGGCTCAGCCAGGCATTCTGCCCTTGTCCGTGAAGGGAACCTCAAGGACAACGATGACAGAGCACAAAGAGAAAGTCTATTGAGTTTTGAGGGGCTGCGGTACACATTTTAAAAAGTAAAGCATGAGCAAAGCAACCAGAGACTGCAAATGACACCCTGGCCGCAGGCCCTGGCCACAGACTCGTTTATTCTACCTGACTCACAGTGTGGCTCTGAAAATGTGCCCAGGTTCTGGGGAAGCCTCCTGGAGCCCAGTCCACGACTCTGGAGGCTCCTTTCTCCCCTCGAGCCGAATGTGTGGGCGATGTCGTCCTTACCTCGTAGTGGGCCACGCGCTGAGATTCCGATATCAGCTGTGCACTGCACACCTTGCAGTAACTGTCTGTAAACAAATCCTGGTCGATATCGGAGGACTTCATCAGGCTAAAAGAAAATCGAGAGAGGGAAAGAAAAGTGAGTCCGCTGCTTTGCTGGGATAAAGGTCATTCACCAAGTGAAAAGCCAGGACCCACAACAAGTGCGATGGCGGTCACAGCGGGTGGTCTAACCACACTTGATGTTACCACGGCAATTAGCCATAACAAGTATACAGTTTACAGTTTTCTCATAAATGCCCAGCAGGGTTCCTGGCACCCTAAAAAATAAAAATCTAGCTTTAGTTTTCTGTTTGTGTAAACCAGACTTGTATCTGATACTATATCAAGGACTTGTATGAGAAGATGTTCACATGTGGGATACATGTTAACAAAGCACCTGAAAGCACCATCAGGAAATATTCTAAAGCACCAAAAGGATAAATGCAACGAAAGGAAACAGGACGGACGAAGCCTGATATATCAACATGCTGGAGTATGTTTTCCCAAATGTAACTCAATCAAATCCCTCTTTAAGGGAGAATTCAGTGAAACAGAAAAAGAAGTTTATGAACAATACGTAAAGCATTATATACTGAATGCTTTAATATTCATATATAGATGTACAAAATTCTGAAATATTTTAACAAAATTTTAATAACAGTTGTCATTCAGAGATTATAGGCAAATGCTTTTATAACTTCATTTTAAAAATTCCCATAATGTACACATTGCTTTTTCATTAAAGAACAAATTACTTTAGTCAAAAGATATGTAAGCTACATAAAATTAGGCTTTAGTTCAATAGCTATGCAGAACTTACAAAACTTTAAAAAATCAGACCAAACTACAAATGATTTGCTTCCTCATGACTTGTGACATGAAGGGGACCTTCTGCTCCTGCTGACTTCTGCATTTAGCTTTACTGGAACCCATCAAAGCCAATTTACCAGTCTATACAGCAAACAAACCCACGAAAGTAAATGTATCTCACATGTCAAAACCCACATTAAAACGCAGCCAAGGGCCCAGCCTTGCAAAACTGACCTGTCAGAAAGGCATGTGACAACAGCCAGAGGGTCATGTGGCCTCACAGACACAAATGCCAGCGCCTCAGAATGCCCAAGTCTGCTGCGTCTACCCTCTACTTTCTTCTATGAAGGAAGAACTGTGCAGATCGCAGGCTACCAGAAGGGCAGGAGACCCTCAGGAGATGGTACTGTATCCATCTTCCCACAGGACCACCCCAAGTTGCACGGCTTGTTATCAGCATGGCCGGAAACCCTGTCTAACTCATATGACTATAATTTTCACACAGCAGATCCATCCCAGATCTAATGCTTCCACATGATATCGTGTGAATTGCTCACTCAATCTCTAAGTCTTAGTTTTCCCCCACAAAAAGTAGAAATACTTCCCATGCCTCCTTAGAGACTGTCGTGAAGATCAAAGAACTATATAGAAAGGGGGAGACCATGGTGGACACTCAGTGGCTAACTACCAAACCACAGAACCTGAAGGCTGCCTGGTAACTTCCTCAAGATTCCTGTGAGCAACTCACAGACAGCGGAGTGGCCCAGGCCGCTTCACTACCCCGAAGATCAGCATCAACACGAACGTTCCTACTCTCAAGCTTTGTAGAGGGCTCTCCAGTGGCTTTGAATGGCTGCACATGAATTAAAAAGACAGCCAGGTTGTGCTGCCCCACTCCTGGGGAAAGCATTTTTATGTCAATTTCCGTTCAGAGGAGATGATGGAATATTTGAGAACAACTTTATTGAGGAAAGGAAGTCAGGGGAGGAGCAGTTTCTAAACACGGTTACTGGCCATCCTCTGGCACAGAAAGAGTGTTGTCTTCACATGTTTTTGCAAGACAAAATAACAGATAAAAGCTGTGCTCCCCTAAAATAAGACATGCTTGGAATTTGGCAAGAGGCAAAATTGTGACCCTTAATGATTCATGTGCACCAGCAAGACGTTCTAACTATCTTTTAGCCTGCCGCACAGAAGCTGGTATAAAACGCCTTCGCCTTTGGTGTAGTAACACTCACGTGCTCGGTTTTGCTTGGCAGTTGACAAGTTAATTTGCTTTAGTGACAATCTCTCATTCCAACCTCTATACACAAATAGCTCTTCCTTGCTGTGATATATACACTATGGTATAAATATATGAGATATATATACACACCATAGTGTGAGGTACACACACATACTATATACTATATTCTATAGCCTGACAAAGCTTCAGTGTCCCAACTAAAATTTCTCACTTGTTCTTATTTGTAAAAACAAGAAAGAAGAAAAAGAAAGCAGAGAGAGAGAGAGACAGAGAGAGACACAGAGAGAGACAGAAGGTTATACAAACTATAAAATTCTGCATGTGTAAGAGACCATTCTCATATTTTAATGGCACCCTGGTGCTGGTAAAAATGTTGACCAGTTTTCAAACAACACACACATAAATTAATCATGGGTGAACCATCTTAAGTAATTTTTAAACCATCTAAATAGTTAGCTCTGCAGGTAAAGCATCTACCAGAAATAAAAGGCTACCTGCCTCAACAACTTGAAACTCACTTTCTGTCGTGGCCCTTGTCTTTAATGGCTCATTCAGGGCATTTGTCCTCAGTTATTTAAAAGAATTCAGTTTCTGACTGGTTTATTGCTACCTAGATCAATCAACAATTATGCCAGAGAATATGGACCACATCACAGTGATGAGAACCAGTTATTTCTGGAAGCATCACTCCGGGCAAATGGTTCTGTTGGCCTGGGGACCAGTACTTCAAAGGCTTGAAGACTCACTGTCTCACTAACAAGGCAACCCATCCCAGAGAGACTCAACACTCTGAATTTTAGGTTTTTCTTGAGATGAATCAAGTATGTCCCCCTGTAGCTTTCATTCATTTATTCTGTCTTAGGGACACCTCGCAACAGTCCTATTTCTTTTTCATGAGATTTACTCCATCAAGGTTTCTGGGGATAACTCTCTTCTGTCTCTTCCTGAGTCTACCACCCCTTATCACCATCGCTGCATCTACTGCACTATGCCACATCCTCACCGACAATGCCACGAGCAGAAGGAAGCATCCCAAAATGGTCTACCTGGGGCAGAGGGTCACAAGTCCAACCGACCATATTGGAACACCAACTGTTATTTCCAGTGGTCTCTATTCAAGTCCCAGAATGAAAATGCAGAGATGTTGTTCTGATGATGGGAAAATATAGTACAACCTTTTGAAGCACCAAATAGGAAAAGAAAACTTAGTAAGGTATATTTTTAAAACCAAGCTCTTATAAATGATTATGCTTAAATATGATCATATCCCCTGCTATTTCTAATAAAGAAGTGTGCTAAGATAGATTCATGAGTGATCTGGTTAATAGGAATCCCCAAACTCCCTGCACACTCCTTCCTTGTTACACAACCAACTGCAGAAACCAAGCCCTGTGAAAAGATATTCAAGGTACGTGTTGGACCAGGCAGGGCTGTAGGAGTCTGTGTCTCGGTGAAGCAGCAGAAATAGCTTTAAAGGCAGAATATAAAATGTGTATACTAAAAAAATTCCAAGGAAGAGAAAATACCATGGCTTATTTCACTGTTTTATATAAGAATAACGATTTGAGGAAGCCCATATGCAATATAAAGGGCAGTAAAGACCCTTCTGAATCTACAAGACAGGAGTGAGATACCTGAATAGGTTAAATTCCAGGGAGAGGCAATTAGTGGACAAGTGTCAGGCTGGTCTGTGCATGAGACCTTTCTCCAAGAGAAGAGAACTCTCTGTGTAGGTCAGCTTAGACAACCAGAGCATCTGATGTATGATTCAAAGCCTGGAATTCCCAAGAGAGAAGGCTGCCACTTGATTTCCTGCTCCGACTGGTTTGGAGTAGGATTCTCAGCTTCCTGGGCCTTCAGCACAAGCACAAAGTGGTGAGAAAAAGAAGGCAGAACAAACACGATTTCTTGGCCTTGTCTGTGGTCCTGAAAAGTCTAGCCCTCACCAGCAGTGGGAGTAGGAATGGGAAAATGGATCCCTGGCTGGTCAGTCCACGAAGTCCCATCAGAACCATGTGTGGTGACCTCCACTTTGGATGCATGAGTGCAGTAAAGCTTTCTCATTGCTGCCCGACCCCAACACATCCACTGATTGATGAATGTCCTTGCCATCGCCTGTCAGCATTCGCACAGCATAGGACCACCTTTAATGTAGCAAAGAGGCCACAGAACCGAGGTGGGAGCCATATCAGAGTCCAGTTACATTCTCCTTTCCTGTCTCAGGTGTGTGCACTCCAACAAATCTATCTACACAGATGTCAGGGACATTCAAAATTCTGATGGGCAAGTAGATATAATAAAAGAAATATGAAGCAAGGGGCTTTTATTTATCCCATAATGATTATCAAGAGTGTGGTCTTGTGAGGCTCTTGGACAGCAGAAGATACAACTCTGCCTCCAAACCCTCACGAGTAGTGGGTGAAAAGGGACACCACATATAAACCAGTACCTGAGACTCAGGGCTAAGTATAATCTGGCTGGGAAAAGTCTTCAGAGCACTTGTGCAGACAGAGAGCATATCAAAGAACTCTGCTAGTGGGTTGCATACGAGTTGAAAATGGGAAGATGATTAGAATTAGAGCAGAGTGAGAGGGGCTCCAACTCAGAAGCTAATTCTCTTCCCTGGCACAAAGAAAAACATTACTGCCAGCAGATACAAGAAGATACCCAGGAGGTGCAATGGTAAGGGCTAATTTGGGGAACCACAGTGTAAGGGTGAGAGCAGAAAGATGCAAGAGAGAAAATAAGCTGGAGACCACACTGAGGAAAGGGGGGCTGGGGGTAACCACCAGGTCCTAGTGTTTCACCCCAGTATGAAGAAGGGCCTTTTCCAGGGTCCTCAGCCTTGTCCTGACCCCTGAGAGAACTGCAGAAACAGGCTTCAACTGGGGAAACCTGGGCACACTTCATTCCCTTCTCTTCCCCACCTGAGTGCTGACCAGACCTGACCCCACCTGGCTCCCAAGACCACAGTCAGATCAACCAGGCTCCCGGAGGTGCAGTCATAGGTG